CAATCAAATAGGTTGAGAAAGCAAAAGGAAAACGGGCATGAATGCATGATTGATTTTTCCAGCCATTTTATTTGATGTTATATCATCTCCAACCGAAAAATTCATCTTTAAATCCATTTTGTACCAACTGTAACATCAAACAATAAATCTTTTCTAATCAAAAAATTCATTCTCAAACCCAAAAAATTATTTCCACAATATTCTTTTTATCATCAACTTTTCTATTTTTCAATATCAGTTTTATAAATTATACCCTATTATTATGTATATTCTATTAAAATATATATATATAATAAAATTAATTGTATATTCATAAAACTAAACAATATCAAATTAATATTTATTATTCATTGAGAAATACATGTGATTATGACTTATTTTCACCATTGTCTTTCAATTTTCACCTCTAGGTATGTAGTTTTTATAATAAAAAAAAATTAATTTTGTGCATGACAATAATTTTTTGTTTTCTATTTAAATGTCAAAATATTTTAGAAATATCAATATATTTGAATTAATTTTCAATCATTTTCTATTTAAACTAAGAATATTTTAAAAACGCTTTTGCTATTGTTGAATTAAATATGTTGTGTGGTATAAAATTCTTTTCAATTTCGTGTATGAATAAAATTTGGGCAACTAATATTACACATATAACAATTAATACATATAGAACCAAAAGTACATATATATATTCATATTTATAGATAAAAATATTAATAATATTAGATTTAAATATAACCATTTATATACATAAATAAAAATTACATATAAATATATATTTTCAATTTTATAGAGGAGTGTGGATAATTTAAAACAAAATTGGGAAGGTAAACTAATATGAAAAGATGAAATGCAAAGGAAGGTGGAGAGAGAAAGGAAAAAACTCATTTTGAGTTTATGTTTGTTGTCCGGTTGGAGTAATTTCACTGCATTTTTTAGATTTTTGCGTTCGATTGAAGTTGGTCTTAGCAACTTGTACACACTATATTGTAAATAACAATTGTGATCATGTATAAGACCAACATGCCTATTAGGCTGGCATATTTACTTTAAAAATATGTATACCTTTATTAAAAGACTAGTACGAAAAAATATTCTTTAATGTTTATAAATTAAAAATATTCATTAAATAATATTTATAAATTAAAAATATGGAATCAATACGTAATACAACTTATAGTAATTTGTTGAAAATGTTATATGAAATATAAATTGTTTAAAATTATATTAAATATGTCTATTTAAAATTGGTACACGACCCGTACGGTGCAAATAACTAATAATAAATTACATTATATTCATTTCGAAATAAATGACATTTTAAAATTTTTATTCAGAAATTCGATTTGACTACAATGTGATTCCAGTAAATACAAAGCTATATATATATATATATAGATATTTGTTATGTTCCACGCACATTTACAAACTATAGTATTCTCCATATTTTTCTCTTATTAATATCGAGTAAAATGCTTAGCAATACCAAAAAAAAAATATTGAGATACCATTTTTTACTATAAGCGGGTATATTGGATCAATATATAGTATACCAAAAAATTTGATTACTTTATCGATAAAATACAAAAATGATAATCAGTTTTACAACAAAATTAATTGCGCAGCATACAAAACAAAATCGAGACCCGCGTTTTTATAGATAAAAATAAAAAAGACCAAGAAAAAAAGTTATTAAAAATAATTAAATAAAATCTGTCATTAATACAATTATTTTGGAATAACGTTATAAAAAAAATTATGATTGAATAAATCAACCAAGTTTACTCGATTGTATAATTAGGGTATTTTAAGAATATAAATTTTTAGAATCTAATTATTTCCTTAATTATCAATAATTTGAGTAATTAAATACACAAAAAATAAATAATAATTATCAAATAACATTTAAATAAAAACTGTCAATAACACAATTTTTTTAGAATAGTTTTCTGCAAATCGCATAATTGATTATTTTAGTTGATATTGTCATAATTCTAGTAATTATTTGTAGATTGAATAAATCATTTGGATTTACACAATTTGCATAATTGAGGTATATTAAAAATGTACTTCCCAAAAGAATTACACGAAAAATATAAAACACTTATTAAATAATTAATTACACAATTTAGTTGGAAGATTTTTACCAAATCACATAATTGATATTGCAGCCAAAATTTCTATATTTGGGTAAATCGACCAAATTCACATGATTTGAGTAATTAAGTTATCTTAAAAATAATTTTTTTATTGCTTATATCATTTCCTGAAATAATGAGCCGCAATTTTCAAAAGTGATTATTTGAAATATACCATAAATTGTTAAACTAATTTACTAAAATAGTAAATAGATTTTTTTTGGAGAGAAATGGTTACTATTTATATATATATATATATAAATATTATACTTAAAAAGCAACATAAATATAAGAATGACTTTTAATATATAAATGTTTATTTTTGTTTAAAATAGTACAATTAATCAATTTCGTCTACAATTATACTGTCTCAAATTTGTGAATAAAAAATTAACAATACATTCGACGGATACGTTACATGCATTATAGAAGGTGCAAAACCAAATTGAGCTTGAAAAAATAAAATGCTAAATCACTGTTTGAAGTTCCAATTAAAGAATAGTCGGGCCCATGTTAAGACATAATTGAATACTTTTATGAGGCAGTTTTGATATGAAGCCAACAGTTGACTCAATAGTGGAGCCAACCTTCTATATAAAACAAGGTGAATTCTTATATTCCAATTCTAAGGTTTTAAAGAATCTCGACCAAGCAAACGAAGCGAAGCGCAGTGAAGTCATAAGTATTGGCGAAGCGAAGTGAAGTCATAGAGATTCGTTGAAAGTACCATAGCGAGTTACACATGCGGTCTTTAGTACGTCGCCAGCCTTGATACGCACTTGATAGTAGCCACTTCGAAGATCAATCTTCGTAAAGTATCTTGCCTTCCCAAGTTGATCAAAGAGATCAGCTATCAAGGGTATTGGATACTTGTTCTTGATAGTGATCTTGTTGAGCGCTCGATAGTCGATGCACATTTGCAATGAGCCATCTTTCTTCTTTTGAAAAAGGATTGGTGCGCCATATGGAGCCTTGGAAGGTTGAATGTCGCCAATCGAGGAGGTCTTTGAGTTGCCTCTTCAACTCTTCCAATTCTGGTGGTGCCATGCGATAAGGTGCCATAGCAGGAGGCTTCGCGCTAGGCTCAAGTTCTATCTCGTGATCCACCTCTCGCCTCGGTGGGAGTTTCTTAGGTAGCTGGGCATCACATCTTTGTAGTCATCAAGTACTTCTTGCACGCAACTTGGCAAGGGTGCCTTTGGAGCACCTTCCTCTTCCCCATCATGGAGCTCCCTTATAGTAGCAACATAGCACTCATTCTTCTTAAATCCCTTTTTGAATTGCATGCGGAAATCATAGTCGACTTAGACTTCTCCATGCGCTTCAATGGGACTACTCGAATCTTGAGCTCGTCAAGTATAACGAGGGACTTTGAAGCAGGAACAGGGAAGGCAAGGGCTTTGTGAAAGAATACTAGACCCAAAACAACTTTGAAATCATCCAAAGGGACAACAGTGTAGTCTAGCTTACCTTGCCAATCGCCAATCTTTGTTGGGACACCTTCGGCTTCTTCTCTCTCTTTGACTTCACTTCGCTTCGCTTCGTTCGTTCCCTCGTACCTCGTCCCTCTCCTTTCAGCCTTCGTATCGTCTTTCTATTATAACTTCATTTTGCTTCTAAAGATTACATTGACCTATGGTCGTCAGTTGAATCGAACATAAATCTTCAACTAACTAACATACTAGTTCCGCTTCAACGTTTCAACACGGTAGCTAAAGCAATTCAATTCTCAGCCAATACTAATCTATACTTTTTCCGCTTTAATACCCAAATCTTGACTTCACTTCGCTTCGCTTCGTTTGTACTCTCTAATCGAAGAAAATAGAAAGTTGTTCTCTCCCCAAACTAAAGAGTTACGAAACAACTCTCAACAATCTGCCTTACCACCTCACAAAGAAAACTGGTACTTTTCTCGAGGTGTGGGCAGAATCCCTATTTCTCTTGAACGGTTCTCGCTTCTCGCTCTCCTATAACTCTATTCAAGAGAGTTTCCACTTCTCACTCAGAATAGAAGTTTCGGGTTCAACCCCCAAGTTGGCAAGAGTCGAAGGCTATGTCCTTGATATAGCTCAGTGAACTAGCCAAGGGTCAAAGTACCAAGAATTCTTCAAGGCACCTATTTTGATGGCTTACTGTAAGGTTTCTCAAAAGGACCCTGAGTTGGTGTGATGTGGCCGGATATAGAAGCTATATGATTTGGTTGCCAAGTGGGGAGTTGGTGGTTTTGTTGTTGATTCTACTGTTATTGAATCAACAGTTGTTGAATAACCATTGTTTGCAAAAAAAACTGTGATCCCAGGAAGGTGAATAAGCAGTACATTGAGAGTATGTCAATGTTCCATTAGGGGATCTTGGAGGAAGAGATGTGGACATGAATCTTACTCGTCGAGGAGAGGAAAGTGAGACTTGACTCGAAAGGAGCAGTTTCAGAAGTGATGGAACTTCTAAAATGTAGATTTGGCTCTAATGTTGTTATCATCACCTACAGTCAGGTTTTCTACGACGTCACTGATTGAAGTAGGGTTACGACCTCGTCGGTGTTTACCAATAGAAGTTCCTAGTAGAAGACGTCGCAATCACTTTGATGAAACCTTTGATGACCTGGACATCTCGACTTGTCGAGTAAGATTCATGGCCATGTCACTCATGTGCTTGAATGCCAACAATTGGCTCTATAGTAGAGCTCAGTTACATAGTTATATATGTTGTCATCAAATTCAATAATTAAGAAAGAGTGACAATATAGTATGGTTGAAGCATTTATTTCAAGGGCAGTGTAGAATTAAATGAAAAAAACTGCATTATATTGTTCATCTTTCACATATATAATTTTTGGATGCGTAATTTGAATGAAATGATATACAGAGAAAATACACCANAAAAGCACCTTCAATCGGCAGCCCCACTTTACCACTTCCTGCTTTATTTTTCTCTTCACCTTCCATTCTCAGTATAAACCTCGAAAATCATCTGAAAATAATTTGAAATCCGTCAACGCATTAGGCAAGGTTTCCATATACAGCTTGCTCGCAGCCGCCAGAAAGTGATTAGAAGCTTACAGCTTGGTTAAAAGGAGGGGAGAAAGAGGAAATATTATATTTTTCTTTTGTTTTTCTCTTTTGTTTCAGGTATGGAATCAAGCATCGAGTGCATATCAACCGTTGATGGGGTGGATGAAGACGAGATCTCCAGCGTCCACCCATTTTCTCTGTTCACATCCCCAAAGCCATCTCACAACAACAATAATCCAGCCACGAGTGTTCACGAGCTTCTTGAATGCCCAGTTTGTACTAATTCTATGTACCCTCCCATACATCAGGTTCGAAGATTGCCTTTTTTCTTGTTCTTTTTTAATGAAAATTTAGCTTCTGGGCTTTTTCATTTTGTTGGTTGTTGCCAAGATTGACTCTTTTCTCTAGTGTTACTCTTTTTTACTTTTTGTTGTTTTTTTCTTTGGACATCGATGGCTTCAAGATTCCGTTGTGAATGTGGTGTGTGTCCTCTTTATTGCAAGGTTGATTTTGTTGATGCGTCTTAATTCTTCAACATTGTATCGACCAGCGATTTAGGTATTCAGAAGTCTACAAAATGGGATCTTTTCTGTTTTTTGTCCTTTCATAAGAATTTGAATCTGTAACATGAACTTTCATTAGCAGCTGTATCCACCTATTTAGGCTAGACCAAGAAGTTATATATTCTTTATTTTCCTAGTGATGGTTGAATTCCCCAAAATAATGGAATTTTCCAGTTTTCACTTATATCATAGAGATCAATCTTTCTCCTTAATTGTTCCAACTTAATTTAGCAGAAATAAATACTATACTTGAGGAGAATCAAGAATGCTTCACAAAACTTTGGGGAAGTTGGGGGGTGTGCTATCTTTTGTTCCAACCATTAATTGACTTGAACAATTGTTTGTGCATAATTTTATATCATATTTGATATACAAATGTTTCCCCTAACATCTGCTCAAGTACTGCAGTGTCACAACGGGCATACCCTCTGTTCCACATGTAAAATTAGGGTCCACAATAGGTGCCCGACTTGCAGACAAGAACTAGGTGACATAAGATGTTTGGCGTTAGAAAAAGTGGCTGAATCACTCGAGCTCCCCTGCAAATACTGCTCCATTGGATGCCCAGAGATCTTCCCTTATTACAGTAAGTTAAAACACGAGGCCCTTTGCAATTTTAGGCCCTACAGTTGCCCTTATGCTGGATCTGAGTGCTCGGTTGTTGGTGACATTCCGTATCTCGTCACTCATTTGAGAGATGATCATAAAGTGGATATGCATTCCGGATGCACATTCAATCACCGTTATGTTAAATCGAACCCTAGGGATGTGGAGAATGCTACGTGGATGCTGACCGTAAGTGTTTTTTCTTTTCTTTTTTTTCTTTTCTTGCCGTCACTCCTTTTCAGTGATATCATACATGTTGCAACTGAAAATGGATTCAATTTTGAGAGCACTTTTAGCTGAAAGAACAATATAAATTGAATTTTCCACTTTTAGCTGAAAAAAAAAAGTAGGGTGTGAGATCTAAAAGACTAAAAGACGCCAAATTTACTTTGCTTCTGCATAATGTGATCAAAACCCAACATCAGAGGGGAAGGTGGCTTGCATTTTATGTTCTGATTCTGGTCGTGCAGTTAAACATGTAAAGCATACTTCAAACCTGTTCACCAAACAATTTCTAATTTATTTCATACACTATGTTGGTCAAATTTCCGAAAAATGTCCATCATATAGGGCGTCATGAAGAATGGTCGGGTCCACTAAGTTGTCATCTTAATCAAAACTCGTACAATAGCCAACATAGTATACTAAAAAATGTCAACTAAGAATGATCACTTTTAGTACACTATATCGATTATTGCACGAATTTTGATTAAAGTGGCAACTCAGTGGACCATTCTTGATAACTCATGGACATTTTTCGGAATATGACCAACACAGTGGACCATTTTTAAAATTTTGCCTCCTATACTCCAATATCTCCAACTTCTACATGTTGCATACTTCGCAAAACTGGTAATTCAATAATTGTTTTTCAGAATTCTTACATTTTGTGAATTAAAGCCCTATTTCCTTGTTATCATCAGGTTTTCCATTGTTTCGGACAGTATTTTTGTCTCCATTTCGAGGCATTCCAACTAGGGATGGCCCCAGTTTACATGGCTTTCCTCCGATTCATGGGGGACGAAATGGAGGCTCGTGACTACAGCTACAGCCTAGAAGTTGGGGGAAATGGCAGGAAGCTTGTATGGGAAGGAACCCCAAGGAGCATTAGGGATAGCCACAGGAAAGTTAGGGACAGTCATGATGGGCTCATTATACAGCGTAATATGGCTCTCTTTTTCTCTGGTGGGGACAGGAAAGAGCTCAAGCTTCGTGTGACGGGCAGGATTTGGAAGGAGCAGCAAGGCCCAGATGGAGCTTGCGTGCCCAATCTCTGTAGTTGAGAGGCTGCTGTTAAGACTTTTTTTTTTTTTGGGATTTGTTTGGAAAACCTTTTTTTGTTATTTAAAATGTGATGTTCGTTCGTCAAGTGGTGTTGGGTTTGCTTACGTAATGTTTTGCGGTCGGTGTTGGATGGACAGGTCTTTGTTTGTTGCTGTACTGAAATTGCTCAGATTTGTGTGGTTAACAGGTATATATATTGAGTTGCTGGAGAAGAAAAGAATTTGAAGTACTAGAGTCTTGACAGAAGGATTGAGGTGTTTCCCGCCTTTTTTTCTTCTAAATGAGTAAACTTGAAATGCAACTTAAACTTTGATCAGTTGAATGCAGAGAGTGAAGTAGAGTTGTTAAATTAAATGAACCGTGAGCTCCGTTTTTGGCTTGTTAAGGCTCGAGCTGAGCTCTGAACTTGTTTAAAGCTACAAACAATATTTGAACATAAACGAACACGAGCTCGAAATGCCGGCTCGTTAACGTGCCTGATCGTCCAAAATTGAGTTCACTTTCTTAAACTCACAATTTCTGAAATAATATTTGTTCACTTACTCTCAATTTTAAATTTAAAAGTAATTTTAATATTTCTTAAGCTTGGGCAATAAATAGTTCAAGTTCTTACACTCAGCATTTTACTTGTCTACCACTTCCACCTGAGTGCAAACAATCTCAACTAGGAGAATGTAAGCTGATTTCTCCTTTCTAAGCTGATTTCTTCTTTATTTGATTACAGTTGAGATTTGTTTTCCACGTTCTGTTTACAGTAACCCACTATCCAATTCGGATGGTTAAAGCCCTCGTGAAATCTGACATAGACCGTCGGTGGGACTTTCATGTGCTTTATATTCATCATCAACACAAACCCTGTACCAAAATGTGGAGCCCTAGTGTGCACCAAGTCAATTGGAGAAAAGAGCCAGCTAGACATGGCCAAAACCATTTCTGGCCCAATTCCAGGCCAAGGGTTGAACAACCCTGAACCGTCCCAAACATATGCACGAGTCAGTTCGTTGAACCGACAGTTCATAGCTGCTTTGGTGAAGCGCCAATTTTGGGCCAGCCTAGTTCATTAAATAAATAAAAAAATCAAAAAATAATAAAAAATTAGAAAGAAAAAAAAAAGGAAAAAGAAACTTGGCAAAACGCAGCATTTTTTCACATTGGCTACAAAATCAAAACTCAGATGTACCGAACTGTATATACACTGCAGGATAACACCTTTCATCAAACCTCAACATATTGTCTGAACTGAACACTAGGAAATAAACAGCACAGGAAAGACAACAACAAGCACAGCACAAACACATAAAATGGCATCGAAAAAATACTCTTTCCAAACTCAAGACATCGAAGACAATTGCGTATAAAAAGCTTTTGTGGATTTCTCAGTATGATAATCTACATCGATAGATTGTAAGATTAATGGCATGACGCACAGTTGTTCCAAAATGGAAGTTTAATATTTTCAGACTGGAAACAGGGAGACTTGGCAACACATGCAAGCTACAAGAATGCCGAGCACAGCTCCACCAAAGACCTGGGAAGGAGTGTGACCGAGAAGTTCTTTCAGCTTTCTTTGTCTTATTGGGTGTCCTTGGAACAAGTCTTCGACTATCACATTGAGTACCTATACGGAATTGAACTATTATTTTTTAGATTAAAAAGAAAAAAATAAAAGGCTAGAGTATTGAAATATGATAAAACATGGCAATCACAAATAAAATAGAAAATATGATCAAACTCTCAAAAAGAAAAAACAATTACTTACATCTAAGATCAAGATTAAGTATTCGTCATGCAGAAGTGACGAAAACAACGCTCTATCTCATTGGACTGCTAAACAAAATGCAATCATGCCAGTAAGATGGTGCTAACAGTTGTCAATGATTAAGCAGTACATTTTCGAAAGTAAAGGTGCCTAAAATAATATTTCTACAGAACAAAGTTCTGAACTAAAGCATAATTAGATATACGTTTAATACCTCCCTCCCATTCAAGCATCAAAGTTTTTCAATTCAATGCAGCCAGGGTGTGTAACATTTCATTTCCAGACTTGGAAAATGTTTATTAGGCCCACACTGAAGAAGTTAAAACAAAAACATTTTCTTATAAAATTTAACACATGGAATCTACCTAAATAGTGCTTCCCCGACATGCAGGCATTGGGATAACAAAGGGAATAAGACCTGAGACATCCCAAAATTCTTAAAACTCCTACGGCTTTTGTAGAATATGATTCTTTTCAGGTCTCTTCGAAACCACACTGAATAAGTATTGTACTTATTGTGTCCTTGTGAACAGATTTTTTGGATAGCATCCTAACAAGTAACCTAGGATGCCAGGCTTGAATGCATCCAATGATTACCGGTCAAAAAACTTCCACAAATCTTCATGTCCAAGAAAGAATTGAAACGGAACAACCATGATTATATTTCTAACAACTGAACGCCAAAGAGCCACAAAAAAGGTAGGAATTATATATCTCACACGCTTCTGCAAAGCAATCATCAATAAGCAAAAGAAGCAATTTCTTTTTCCTAATATCTTACAAATATGCTACACATACATAAAACTAAATACTAACTCTCCAAACGGCCAAACAACAATTCCGACAAGTTAACCAACACAAAAAGCACATAATAAGGGAAAGGGAAATCAATTCAGGGAGAAAATAAAAACATAAAAAGAATGACAATCACCTGAGCTTGCATACCAGCGTGCCGTCTAACCCCAATAGCATCGTACATAACAATCAAACTAAAGCCCAAACAAACCGGGAATAAAGAATCAGCAACTCCATGGCAGATGGCCACGGAGGTCGTTAAGGCCATGCACAACGCCGAATGGGAAGAAGGCATCCCACCGGAGGCAAACATAAGCCTAAAATCCCACTTCCTCTCCACACAAAAATTCAAGAAAACTTTAATAGACTGTGCGACCGCCCACGCACACATGCCCGAGACGAATGTCGGGTTTGCAGCCAGCGTGGCCACAATAGGGCTGATTTTAACCTTAGCCGTACACGTCACGCTCATCAGCGCCGCCCCAAACGCGCCGTTTTGCAGGAACTCGGTCTCCTGAGAACCAACGGGCCTTTGTCCCGAGGATTTCGCAGTAAAGTCCCTGACTTTCTGAAAAAACGGGAGTAAATAGGAAAAGGGCTTTAACGGGTAGCCGTAATTGCTCCATTTTGAGCTAGGATTTTGTGGGTTCGAACAATTTGCGATGACTGTTGGTCTCCTGAACCTTCTGGGGATCCTGAATCTGAAGGGCAAGAGGGACGAACGATTGAGGGCGTTGGGTTTTGGGAAACTGACGAAGCTCAGGGCTTTGAGCGGAGAGCTTATCATAACGAGAGAGTCCATGGAAATAGGGCGCTGCGTTTGGTCCGAATTTCAGGCCGCATTGAAACGGATGGAGGAGGAAGAAAAATGGTGGCAGCTTCGAGAGGGATTATATGTGGAGAAGAATTAGTTTAGTTTGAGGTATAAATAATTGAACAATCCCGCTACACTACCCAAGTCCCTTCACGGGTTACAAAATGACATGGCAACAATATAAAAAAAATAAATAAAAATCTATAAATAAAAAGTTAATAAAAGAATTTATTTTACCCAAATTGAAACCGTTAGTTTCTCAGCCCTCATCTTTCTTCACCCTTACAAATCAGTCGATTTCTTTGAGAGAAAAAGTGAATGTCCAAAATTTTCTTCCGACATCACCGACGCGAAGAACCTCTGCATCATTTCGGTGAAGGGAGTCAAGGATCGCCTCAACAGGATCAAGGAGATTTAGGTATTGAAGCTCACTCATCTGACCTAGTCGGGACGGAATTTCCCTGGACAGCTTATTGTTGGCGAGATTGAGTATCTGGAGGCTCGATAGGTCGCCCAACTCGTCCGGGATGGAGCCATTGAGACAATTGAGGGAGGTCGTGAAGACAACGAGGCTGGAGCAGCCGGCGAGCTCCCGGGGGATGGGCCCGGTGAGGTCGTTGTCGCCGATATGAAGGAGGCGGAGGTTGGGGCCAAGGCGGGCCGGGACTGGGCCTGTGAGGTTGGGGTCGAGGCGGAGGTTGGAGAAAATGAGCAGAGTGTCCAAATAGGAGAGGTTGCAGAAGAGAGCATGTGAGTCAGTCATGGCGAAGGAAAGGGAGTAGTCTGAGAGGTTGAGCCCCACCGCCCGGCGGCCGGCTGCTGTTGCTGCAGGAGACGCCTCTCCAGCGGCAGAAATTTGGTTGGGTGCTTGAGACGCCACCCAATGACGGTATCTTGTTAAGCCCATCTACGTAAGTAGGTCGTCATCTTCTCGCAGGTACTGAATGGGAAGGACATCATCTCGCAAGTTGAGAATGGTGGAGTCCTCTGGTTCTTGGGCACGAGCGTACATTGTAAAGTGTTAGTGTCACCATGATGCAAGGGGAATTGCTGGAATTGAACAACATGATGCATGTATATATAACGCAAAACTAAATAAACACACTATAAGAGTCATCGAAATGCTAAAACTCTGGTTAACAAAACATATAATATCTCCAAATCTCAAACCTGCAAAGTTTGAAGATTCACAAGCAAAAAGACATGCAAATCTCGGGCTCGGCTCAAAACTAAACCTAACATTTATCCACTTCAAAATATGAAAAAAAAATAAAAATTAACCAACAGAATCATATCCATAAGACAGAACAGTAAAAAAAAAAATACAGAACAGTAATAACAGGAAGTAACATTTAAAACAACACATATACAACAAGCCTATGGATTCGCCCGATTTATCGAAGACTCGTTACATGCCAAGTGTTAGCCGAGCCAACAACAGACAGTGAGTTTGGAAGTCGAATCACTGTGACCCTATTCACAATCGATCAAGAAAGCTTTCGTTCAAACGGGCCGCACGGCTCATATGTGAAATATAGGCATCCGAACATTACTAATTGATTCCAAAAATTTTAAACATCACACCAGGAGAACAAAAACTTCATTTTGATAAATGCTACTAACATCATATCCATTACATATCCTCAAAAAAACAATATAACCAACCTATGGACCTTATGGAAATAAACCTTATTTAGTTGAAAAAAGTTCAAGCGCAACATTTGTGATGCTATCAGGTGTCGCTATTGGAGCATTTTTCTTTACTTTCCTTAAGCGTACCTGTAAAAAAACAAAAAAAAAATAAAAGTAAGTCATTTTATCAAAATATTTTATGCAAAAAATTAGAATATACCTTTGATTTATTTGAGCTGACCTCCAGGGGAGCTTTTTTCCGTTTTGTCCTAGGCGCACCTTTTCTCTTTGATGCTTTTGGATCCTTTATATTCTCATTTCCTTTTGCTTGATGGGAAGTACATTGTAAAGTGTTAGTGTCACCATAACTATGCTTCGTCAAAATAAGTTCTTTCTTATGATTTATCTATCCAAGATCGGATGATAACATATTTCTCTTCATCGTCCACTGCAAGGTCTGCCACTTCTGCGAATGACCGAAACATGTCATCATACCTTTTTTGGGCTGGAGTAATACCCAAACCATCATAGCTAACGGCTACCCTCGTGTGCGCTCGGTTAATATCTTTTCTCCATCGTCGCAATATATATCGATCGGGCACCACAACAAAGTCATTACGTATCATAACTGTGATTGCATGTCTGCATGAAACTCGAATAAAAGGCAACTACATGACACTTCATTTATCTCTTTGTTAAACCATGCATCAAATATTTTCTTCTTCCTCCGATCTCCACACATTACATCTTCACATACCTCGTACCTCGTCCCCATATGCCCATCTACTGCAGATATTAGACCACAATAAACTTTTTCCGTAAGTTCAGCTTGAACTTCTCTGAACTTTGGAATTGTATATAATGATTGATATTGCCTTTCCATTTCATATGTCGTCGCACATGGTATGACCTGAGAAAATGATTTGTAATCTGCTTGAATTTCTTTCTCCACCTTATTTCGCAATGCTCGTTCGTATTGTTCAACGAATTGCTTCAACGAAGTCTTTGAATGTACATAACCATCAAAGAAGGCATTCATGCTTTCGCTTCTCTGAGTCGTGGACATTCCTGCCCAAAATGTGGATTTCAAGTAACAGGGCACCCATCGAATGCGATTATCGAACAATCCTGATTACCAATCATTATCATACAAGTGATATTTTTCAATTATTGATCTCCAGCCTTCCTCAAATTCTTCTATTGATTGTGAATCATAAACTAGTACATGAATGGATGAAAATATTGCGGCTTTCTCCGTGTGATATCCGAATTTTTCAGGTAACTTCTTCATAATATGCCACAAACACCATCTGTGTCTGGTATTCGGAAAAACTATTTCAATTGCATTTTGCATGGCTTTATCTTGATCGGTAATTATCCCATTAGGAGTCTGACCATGCATGCACTTAAGCCATGTTCTGAATAGCTAAACAAATGTATCAGTGTCCTCACTTGATACCAAACCGCAACCTAACAATATTGATTGACCATGATGATTCACGCCAACAAAAGGGGCAAAAGGCATGTCATATTTATTAGTAAGATATGTTGTGTCGAATGTGACGACATCCCCAAACTCACTATATGCTTTCCTTGACCTGTTGTCCGCCCAAAAAACATTCTTTAATCGAGAATCCTCATCCAAGTCAATGCTAAAGAAGAAACCTGTGCATTGAGCTTGCATATCAGAAAAGTAAGACTGTATTGCAGCGGCATCCCCTTCGCCAAGTCTTAGGCGTCTCGCCTGTTCAACATAATTACGACAATCCTTCTCCACAAAAGTTATATTCTCATAGCCGCCAACTTCAACAACTACAGAGTTAAAACTTTTATGTAATGGTATTCTTGCTATGTCATTCACTTCAAGCTTCCGTTTGACATTTGAACTTAACACGCGATAGCATCGATACAACCTTGACTTAGTGGGACTGGTCTTGTGATTGTGGTCAAGATGGACAGTATTAATTTTCCAATAACCAGGTATGTCCAATGATGCGGATATTCTAGCTTTACACCCTGTATTACTTATGGGTTGCGGCTTCATTGAAGTTCCTGCAGAACTATTTTTTCATCCTTCGCGACTACACGTGAATGTGACATATCGTAGAATTCCATCATCATCCCTCCCCGAACTTCTTTTTCTCACAGGAAAAAAAAAAAAAAAAAAAAAAAAAAAAAAAAAAAAAAAAAAAATTAACCAACAGAATCATATCCATAAGACAGAACAGTAAAAAAAAATACAGAACAGTAATAACAGGAAGCAACATTTAAAACAACACATACACAACAAGCCTATGGATTCGCCCGATTTATCGAAGACTCGTTACATGCCAAGTGTTAGTCGAGCCAACAACAGACAGTGAGTTTGGAAGTTGAATCACTGTGACCCTATTCACAATCGATCGAGAAAGCTTTCGTTCAGACGGGCCGCACGACTCATATGTGAAATATAGGCATCCGAACATTACTAATTGATTCCAAAAATTTTAAACATCACACCAGGAGAACAAAAACTTCATTTTGATAAATGCTACTAACATCATATCCATTACATATCCTCAAAAAACAATATAACCAACCTATGGACCTTATGGAAATAAACCTTATTTAGTTGGAAAAAGTTCAAGCGCAACATTTGTGATGCTATCAGGTGTCGCTATTGGAGCATTTTTCTTTACTTTCCTTAAGCGTACCTGTAAAAAAACAAAAAAAAAATAAAAGTAAGTCATTTTATCAAAATATTTTATGCAAAAAATTAGAATATACCTTTGATTTATTTGAGCTGACCTCCAGGGGAGCTTTTTTCCGTTTTGTCCTAGGCGCACCTTTTCTCTTTGATGCTTTTGGATCCTTTATATTCTCATTTCCTTTTGCTTGATGGGAAGTACATTGTAAAGTGTTAGTGTCACCATAACTATGCTTCGTCAAAATAAGTTCTTTCTTATGATTTATCTATCCAAGATCGGATGATAACATATTTCTCTTCATCGTCCACTGCAAGGTCTGCCACTTCTGCGAATGACCGAAACATGTCATCATACCTTTTTTGGGCTGGAGTAATACCCAAACCATCATAGCTAACGGCTACCCTCGTGTGCGCTCGGTTAATATCTTTTCTCCATCGTCGCAATATATATCGATCGGGCACCACAACAAAGTCATTACGTATCATAACTGTGATTGCATGTCTGCATGAAACTCGAATAAAAGGCAACTACATGACACTTCATTTATCTCTTTGTTAAACCATGCATCAAATATTTTCTTCTTCCTCCGATCTCCACACATTACATCTTCACATACCTCGTACCTCGTCCCCATATGCCCATCTACTGCAGATATTAGACCACAATAAACTTTTTCCGTAAGTTCAGCTTGAACTTCTCTGAACTTTGGAATTGTATATAATGATTGATATTGCCTTTCCATTTCATATGTCGTCGCACATGGTATGACCTGAGAAAATGATTTGTAATCTGCTTGAATTTCTTTCTCCACCTTATTTCGCAATGCTCGTTCGTATTGTTCAACGAATTGCTTCAACGAAGTCTTTGAATGTACATAACCATCAAAGAAGGCATTCATGCTTTCGCTTCTCTGAGTCGTGGACATTCCTGCCCAAAATGTGGATTTCAAGTAACAGGGCACCCATCGAATGCGATTATCGAACAATCCTGATTACCAATCATTATCATACAAGTGATATTTTTCAATTATTGATCTCCAGCCTTCCTCAAATTCTTCTATTGATTGTGAATCATAAACTAGTACATGAATGGATGAAAATATTGCGGCTTTCTCCGTGTGATATCCGAATTTTTCAGGTAACTTCTTCATAATATGCCACAAACACCATCTGTGTCTGGTATTCGGAAAAACTATTTCAATTGCATTTTGCATGGCTTTATCTTGATCGGTAATTATCCCATTAGGAGTCTGACCATGCATGCACTTAAGCCATGTTCTGAATAGCTAAACAAATGTATCAGTGTCCTCACTTGATACCAAACCGCAACCTAACAATATTGATTGACCATGATGATTCACGCCAACAAAAGGGGCAAAAGGCATGTCATATTTATTAGTAAGATATGTTGTGTCGAATGTGACGACATCCCCAAACTCACTATATGCTTTCCTTGACCTGTTGTCCGCCCAAAAAACATTCTTTAATCGAGAATCCTCATCCAAGTCAATGCTAAAGAAGAAACCTGTGCATTGAGCTTGCATATCAGAAAAGTAAGACTGTATTGCAGCGGCATCCCCTTCGCCAAGTCTTAGGCGTCTCGCCTGTTCAACATAATTACGACAATCCTTCTCCACAAAAGTTATATTCTCATAGCCGCCAACTTCAACAACTACAGAGTTAAAACTTTTATGTAATGGTATTCTTGCTATGTCATTCACTTCAAGCTTCCGTTTGACATTTGAACTTAACACGCGATAGCATCGATACAACCTTGACTTAGTGGGACTGGTCTTGTGATTGTGGTCAAGATGGACAGTATTAATTTTCCAATAACCAGGTATGTCCAATGATGCGGATATTCTAGCTTTACACCCTGTATTACTTATGGGTTGCGGCTTCATTGAAGTTCCTGCAGAACTATTTTTTCATCCTTCGCGACTACACGTGAATGTGACATATCGTAGAATTCCATCATCATCCCTCCCCGAACTTCTTTTTCTCACAGGAAAACCTGCGGCATACGCGTATCGCATATAAAAGTCATAAACTTCATTTTCACTGGGAAACTGCATTTCAATCTTAGGAACGGAATCGTCCATTTCAGTTTTATTATCCTCGATATTTGCACTTTCTTCAAAATTTGCGTTTTCTGAGTTCACAATCAAAACATCATTCATGCTCTGTTCTCCTAGTAATATACAAAAAATTCATCCATTACTTATGAAAAAAATTGTAATACAAATTTGGAGTCTGTCAAAAGAAAATATATATATATATATATATATATATATATATATATATGTATATATATATGAAAGTAAGAGTTACCAGAATATGTTGGGACAAAATTTCCATCTTCCATGGTTGATAACATGAACAAGAGAAGAGATGAAAAAGACTGTATAAACAAACATATTTATTTTAGATGTTTTATTGAGAAAATATGGCTCAATGGTTGGTCACAGCCCACAGGAAGTTGTTGCCGCCATCCGTAAGAAAAGATAATCACATATTAGTGAGGAAAATAAATTAGGGTCAAAAACAAATTTTTAATCTTAGCCGTTAGTTTCTCTTTAATCTTATACGTACACCTCACTTTGTCAATAAACTTTGTCAAGTGACTTGGTTAGGGAAGCATTATTCAAATTAAGAAGTTTGAAAGTTTTTCCAAGTATCATTCAGTGGCTCCTTTTCACCTCATATTAATTCATTTTCAAAGTTGTTCCGTGAGCTATATAGAGCTGAAGTACAAAACTTCGAGAATTATTTCGAGCGAGTTACTGGAAAATAGCTTCTATAAACAGAAGCTCGGATGGTTAAAAAAGAAAGTCTTAATAGTTCATTTCAAGAATCTTCAAAAATAGTGTCCATAACAAAACCTTCATAACAATCACCTTGCATATAGAACAAACAAATATATTTGCTTTCCGACTAGAGACAAATTATTTCCCAAGTTCAAATTCTGCACAGGTTTCACATTGTAAAACATTGTCCATAACCACATGGATAGCTACAAATTACAAAACCACCAAGAGATGAAATTGTAAACAAGAGCACCGCCTTTCACAAATTACAAAACATTGGCCATTAAGGATTCCAATGGCAGCAAGACGCTCGTGCCCAAGAACCAGAGGGCTCCACCATTCTGAACTTGCGAGATGATGTCCTACCCATTCAGTACCTGCGAGAAGATGACAACCTACTTACGTAGATGGGCTTAACAAGATACCGTCATTGGGTGGCGTCTCAAGCACCTAACCAAATTTCTGCCGCTGGAGAGGCGTCTCCTGCAGCAACAGCAGCCGGCCGCCGGGCGGTGGGGCTCAACCTCTCAGACTACTCCCTTTCCTTCCCCATGACTGACTCACATGCTCTCTTCTGCAACCTCTCCTATTTGGACACTCTGCTCATTTTCTCTAACCTCCGCCTCGACCGCAACCTCACAGGCCCAGTTCCGGCCCGCCTCGGCCCCAACCTCCGCCTCCTTCATATCGGCGACAACGACCTCACCGAGCCCATCCCCCGGGAGCTCGCCGGCTGCTCCAGCCTCGTTGTCTTCACAACCTCCCTCAATTGTCTCAATGGCTCCATCCCGGACGAGTTGGACGACCTATCGAGCCTCCAGATACTCAATCTCGCCAACAATAAGCTGTCAGGGGAAATTCTGTCCCGACTAGGTCAGATGAGTGAGCTTCAATACCTAAATCTCCTTGATCCTGTTGAGGCGATCCTTGACTCCCTTCACCGAAATGATGCAGAGGTTCTTCGCGCCGGTGATGTCGGAAGAAAATTTTCGACATTCACTTTTTCTCTCAAAGAAATCGACAGATTTGTAGGGTTGAATCAAGATGAGGGCTGGGAAACTAACGGTTTCAATTTGGGTAAAATAAATTCTTTTATTAACTTTTTATTTATAGATTTTTATTTATTCTTTTTATATTGTTGTCATGTCATTTTGTAACCCAACTATGTGAAGGGACTTGGGTAGTGTATCGGGATTGTAAATAATTAGAGTCACACTCCAGTGAGAATGATAGTCAATGAGAGAAATAAGAATAATGGCATAATTGTGGTATGATGGAATGGAATTTCGTAGGAATGGAATGAATTGAAAAATCGAATGATTATGGGAATCGAATGAAACATGTTTTATGTGAATTTTATTTTTTAAAGTAATATATTTTTAGTAAAATATATTTTTAATATTTTTCAATGATATATTTTTAATATTTTTCAATGATATATTTTTAAGAATATATTTTTAAAAGTAATATATTTTTAATATATAAAAAATAATATATTTTTAATAATATATAAAAATAAAATAACATATTTTTAAATTATATATAAATACTTTTTTTAGTTTTATTTTTATATAAGTATTTAATATATCTAATTAAAAAATAAATAAAAGTAAGTTTTTAATTTTTTTATTTAAATTTTTGTTTAAAATAATTTTATTTAATATATTTTAATCATGAATTATAATATATATCATATATTTACTTTTTATTATTATTTGTTAATTTTATTTTTTGAAAAAATTGATTCCTACACACATGGGAATGAGAAAACCCTCCATTTACTATGGAATGGCTAATCACATGGAGATGGGTTTTGCCATTTGGAATGGTCATTCTTTCCCAAAAAATATACCAATCATGGGATAAAATATGAATGAAGGAATGATCATTCCATTCCTATGTCATTCCATCATACCTATCATGCCATAAATGGTATCCATTCAATCGGATGATGTAATGGCTTAAAAAAAATTAAAATTATACTTTCATTAAGGGTAATTAAGGCATTTCATAATAAACCAGCGGGTCCTACACCGACTATCCACTCACACACCACCAATACATACCTCCCACGTGGCCCACTATCCCATCTCCCACCCCACCAACCCCACCTCTCTCTCTCACACACATACATAACCAAACCTGCACACACACCCCGTACACACACTTTACACGCAACTTCCTCTCACACAAACACCGGACCATCGTCGTTACCAACCTCGTTCCACCGCCATCCGCCGCTGTTAGACCGCAGTTGCCGTCAGTCCGCCGCCGCCGCCGCAGATTCGCGCATCCCGCCCTTACTTCTCTGTTAGATCTGAAGCGTCGACGGTCAGCAATCGTCCGGCGACGGGATCCAACATCGACTCCAATACGCCGCCTGCCAGACGCGCCAATCCCCGGCCCAGATGAGGCCCCGCTCACCATGTTCACAATACTTCCTCCCAACGGTTTCGAACAGCAGCGAAAATAAACTCGGCTCTTCCTGTGACACCATCCGGCGCAGCCGCCCTCCTCGTACAGAGGGATTTCACAGTCGAATCGCGGGACATACGTGAACCTTGATTTTGAATTTGGGGGCTTGTTGTTAAGAATTTGATAATTTCTAAGGACTCAATTACAATTTCAATATTTTCTTTATATTCGATTTAACCCATGGGCTAAAACTGTAATTTATAAAAACTAAATAAATAATATTATTTTTTATATACATTGAGATCGGGCATCAACAAAAGTCCTGGAAGGGTCATCAAAAAACTCTCTAATAATGAAATAACAGTTCTGTATGGATTCTTCAAGCCTGATTCTTCAAGTAAGTTATTCCTTACCAACACACAGGGGCCCACCTATGCTATTAGACGATCAAACCTTTAATATGCAATATTTCTTTATACTTATGTTATATATATTATATTATATTTTTTAATCAAACTATAATATAAAAATATTAAAATACTAAATATACATTTATAGTAATATAGAAAAATATTTTAATTATTTAAGTTAACTTGATTAATCAAATAAATATTTCAATTATTTAGTTAGTTCAATTTTAGTTTAAATTTGCACATGAGGGAATCCGAACTAAATGCACAATAATTTTAAACATTATGCACGCAAGTGACGGTCAAAATGCACTATAATGATAGACCAAATGAATATTAAAGCATGCAAGAATGTGCATTTGCATAACAATATGCATTTTTCACAAATATTAAAATATAGGTTATTTCGTTACAATGTCCACCTTATTTACAAAATAAATAAAAAAACAACAAAACAAAATCGATCATACTATAAAAAAATTATTTATATTTTAAATATGCATATATTATTTTATTTTCGATAAAAATAATGTAAAAATCTTATATAAACAATTATAAATGTTAATTATATTTCTATTATTCAAATAATTTGATAAATGAACAATAATCTTAATTAGTATATACATTATTTAAATTTTCTAATATTTAAATGCACACAAAAAAGAAAATTAAAATTATGAAAAAGATAGTAGCTCAATAGACTGCACAATAATGTTATACTAAATGCACATTTATTTATATAAGAGTGCACATTATCGATATCGGCATTTTATATATTATGATTTTTCAATCAATAATAATATAAAATTATTAAATGAAATTTATAAATTATTAAATATTGTTTTAATATAAATAAACATTATTTTAGTTAGGATAATTCAATTCGATTTCATTTGGTGTGGGACAAAATTTCTATCGGTTCAGATAGCACAATAACGACAGAGACATCGCCAATAATACATGATGAATTGCAAATTAATGACTATCCGGATGCACAACAACAAACAAACCAACCAAAAAAATATTATATAAAAACTATTATTTTTTATATGTTATCTATATTTATATATATATTATTTATGATCAACAAACAATAGTATAATAATACTAAATATTAAATATATTTGTATAATACCAACAAAACTAATCTTGGTTGAAATACACGTTACTAAAGTTTTCTATTATTGAGATGCACATAAAAATACCCACTCAATATACTGCACAATATTTTTTGACGAACTACACATTAATGTCAGCAGGAATGCACATTATCGATTTTTTATTTTATACAGTATTTTTAACTAAAAATATTATAAAATATCAAATATAAATTTAAAATGCTAAATAAATATTAATTTGTTTTGTTCGGTTATTTCGATTTTGACCTTTAGTTTGTACTAGTACAGAGCCCGTGCGATGCACGGGGTGCACAATTTTAAGGCTTATCCAAGCTTATAATTATATACATGAATAAAGAAAAAATGTATGGGATATATATAGTACGTCACCCGTGCAAAGCACGAGATATATTTATTTGGAGAATATTATATTATAAGATGCAATATTGAATAAAAGTTTATAATATGTAAGAAAATTGTACAATGTTCAATAAAAGTTTTATAATATTCAAGTGGAGTCTTAAAGTCTCTTGTACATTAAGACTACTGACAAAATAATATTTTAATCAATGAGTTTCCTTTCCTTGTAGCCAAATTGTGAATGTGATTTGAGGAGTACAACAAATCGATATATAGCGGACTTGCTTTTTTCATTGTAGTTTTTTTTCTTTTTTTTTTATAATGAATTTAAAGATATTCTAAAATATAGCAAAAATTAATTTTTTTTATTACAGTTAGGATTTTTACTAAATATAAACTCTCAATCTATGGTGTTAATCAACGTTTAAGTCTAAAAAATTAGGAATTTTTACCTTTTTTAATCAATGTTTAAGTCTAAAAAATAATAGAGTTATTATAAGTTTTTTTTTCTACATCTTTTAAAACATTAAATATGAGCATGTTAGGGCTAGCTTGTAAAATAATTAATATATTATCTCACTAAAACATTTATACTAATAAAAATTTAATTTTAGCATATAAATTTATCCCTTGATATAAGAGAAAGTAA